AGTTCGGCAAACATCATTTTGACCAGCCTCTGATATGTAGCTCCGGCATTTTTCAATCCGAAGGGCATGACCTTGTAGCAGTACAGTCCTCTGTCTGTGATGAACGACGTGGCCTCCTCATCAAGTCGAAATATGGGTATCTGGTTGTATCCTGAGTACGCATCCATGAAGCTCAAGAGTTCATGTCCGGCAGTGGAATCCACAAGTTGGTCTATCCTGGGTAGTGGGAAGCTATCCTTAGGGCATGCTTTGTTCAAGTTCGTGAAGTCTACGCACATCCTCCATTTCCCGCTAGGCTTTTTCACAAGGACCGAGTTGGATATCCACTTCGGATAAATGGCTTCTCTGATGAAGCTACTGCAGCTAAGCTTATTGACTTCATCTTTGAACGTGTCGTACCTCTCCGGGTTGAGGGCTCGTCTTTTTTGACGATGTGGGTCACAGGAGGCGTTGATGTGTAGGCTATGGCAACTGATCCTTAGGTCTATTCCTACCATGTCTTCATGCTTCCAAGCGAAGACATCCATGTTCCTTTTCAGGAAGCTTATCATTTGTTCTTTCGCTTTAGGGGACAACGTCTTTCCTATTCACAAGACCTGACTAGAATCCTCTGGGTTGACGGAGAAAGTTTCAAGTTCTTCCATTGGGGTCGCATTCGGTTCTGAGCCGGTTATTCGAGGGTCTAATTCGTTAAGAGGATGCCCTTCTTCAGGGACCTCTTCCATGTCGACGTCTTCCTCCTGTTCGGAGGTATGTCATATTTCTAGGACATCGAGCATTTCCACATCCAGGTCAGATTCGTTCGCAATCTCCGTTATGATTACATTAACAGTGCGAGGCTCTGATTTTCGCAGAGAGTTTAGATAACATGCTCTAAAGCCCATTGGGTTGCCTCGAACCGTAGCAATTTCATGCTCAGTTGAGAACTTCATACACAAGTAATGGATGGAGATGACAGCCCAAAGATCTTTCAAGGCTGGTCTGCCCAATACTCCGTGGTAGGCTGACCTGTGGTCTACTACCGAAAATTCCATAAAATGTTGGGCCACTAGGGAAGCTGAACCCATCTCGACGGGCAGAGTAATTCATCCTCGTGGGATGATGCTGTCTCCAGTAAATTCAAATAGTGGGTCGGTCATGGGGATTAGTCTGTGTTCAATTTACATTTTGTCGAAGGTAGAGCCAAACAGTATGTTCACTGAGCTTCCATTGTCGACAAGCCTACGTTTGAGTCTATTTTTTGCTACTACGACTCTTACTACCAATGCATCACAATGGAGATGGTGAACTCCTTGTGTATCTTCTTGGGAGAAGGTAATCGAGGCCATCATGTTGGCTTCTTGGGACTGGTTGACGATGAACGTGAGCATTGGCAGATCCTTTGCTTCCCTTATGTAGTTCCTTTGAGCATCCCTAGTGTTGCCACCGATGTGAGGTCCCCCGATGATCATGTCAATTTTCCTGATGATATGGCCTCCAGAAAATGGGGCCTGATCTCTCTGTCCGGACTCTCCTCTGTCCCTCGATCCTCTTCTTCGGGGTGATTGATCTCTATGCCTCCTTTCACTCCTGTTTGGAGAGGGGAATTTACGGGGATGTTCGTCCCTCCTAGAGGGATGTGGGTTATTCCGATCTGAGCGCCGTGGAGCGTCTCTGCATTCGCTGGTGTCATGTCCATAGAGTTGGTGAAAGGTGCAGAACCTTGCCCTTTCTAAGGGCATGCTTGACCGCTTATTCTTCTTCTTCTTTCGACCACTATCAGTACCCCTAGATGGTCCCGTCTTAGCAGGGACATTCTCATATGCCAATATCGGCACTGCATTTAGCGTGGCAGAAGCTAGTGCCTGTCCAGACGTGGGAGCTATTGTATGCCCTGCTTGGGTCCATTACTGGGTGATAAGGTGTACTGCAAGTCCTCGACCTACCTGCCTCTGAGGCGGAGGGAGTCCCCGTGCGGCACGATTTCGGTGATCAATCATCTTTTCACTACGATCTCGACTCTCATCATTTTCACTAGTTCGTCATAAGTGGTAGGATTCTTGCTGCGCACATCCCTCTAGAACAAAGTGTTCATGTTGAGGCCGCCTTTCAAGGATGAAAGGACTTCTCTGTCAGTGACCTGTTCGTAGTAGGTGATCTCGTCCATAAACTTGGCAAGGTAGCTTTTCAGCGTTTCTCCAGAGGCTTGTCTCATATCTTGCAGGCGTTGCACTAGGGCCTCTCCTTCTCTACGTGAGAGGTACTGATTCAAGAAGGCATTAGCTCCGGCCAACTCCTAATGCTCAGAGGAAGCAACCTGTTGTACCACATTTCGGCTGCTCCGGCCAGGGATAGATGGAAGACTCTACATTTCAAAGCAGGCGAGGCTCTCCTGAGACTCATCTGTCCCATGTACTTCGTGAGGTACTTCTCCGGGTCCCCTTTTCCTTCATACTTGGGGATTTTAGGTGGTACGAAGTTCAGGGCATTGGGGAGCCTCGGATCTCCCTTGAGAAAGTGAGATTATCATCATCATCATCAATCTCGTAAGATCAACACGGCCCTTCGGAGTCTCCATCATCTTGCATGTTCCGGAAGAGTGGAGGTGCTCTTCCTCGGCTACCCCAATCAACTAAGTTTATTCTCTCCTTCCTATTTCTAGGTGAAAGGGGTGCTTGTTCTTGCTCTTCCCCTTGCCGAACTGATCTTTCCACTGAGCGAACCCTATTACTAGGGTCCCGCCCTATCCGGTCAAAAACACTGACTGACCTTGTGCTTCACATTCTGGTGGGAAGTTGTCCCCCAATTGCGGTTCTGCTGGCTGGCTTCCTTGCACATAGGATGTGACTTCCTACCCACTTCTCTCTCGAGGGGGTTCTCTGTACTGGCTCATATGGCCTCGGGAACGAGACGCAGGGACTTCACGAGCTGGGTAAAATTCTTGGGGCATTTGGGCGCCCTGGTGACCTTGGGCTCGCATGAAGAATTCATGCATTGCCATATTCTGAGTTGCGATCTCTCTCATGCCCGCAACTATTTGGACCATTCCTTCAATGAGCATGGTCATTCTTTCACCTCGACGACGTCGGTGATGGGGTTTTTGGTGAGTGACATTGTTTCGAAGCACCTCTTCTTCAGAGGCGTCCATCCTGGGGTTTGCATCCTCATTGCTGGAACTCATCTTATCTACTCCTTTTTCAAGGGTGATGAGAATCTGGGTTGTAATTCGACTTTGTTCTTTTTCAAGAACATCCCCTTTTCAGGGTAAGTCAATGGTTTTCCGGTGGAGAATGTAGAACTTTGGATGGGAAGTTTCCCATAGACGACGCCAGTCTGTTAACCTCGCGAACTGTACCTCCTACGTAGCCAACCGATAGCTCCTCTACGTGATCCTCCCTTTGTGCAATCAACACACGGTCAGATGCTCACGGTCGAAACTAGCTGGGGGTGGTGGCGACCGCATACACTCCGACGGTTAAATTAGTATTCGATGATCGGAACAGTGTCCGGGTTGTGCAAGTGAATGTGGAGGATATTATATATATTTTCTTGTTATGGAGAGTTAAGTTGTAAGAGTTTCATTACCCTTGCCTCTTGTTAAGCATTGGGTATTTATAGGTGAGGAGAACTGTTGGATGTGGGACACGTGTATGCATCTGACGACGTGAGGCATCTGCTCATATGCGTCAATTAGCCGCATCTATAGAATGGGCAGGTAATAACTTCTCCTGAGTTGAGTTGACATAAAGTTAATACGTCACATCAACTAGACCCATGGAGACGTCAAATCAATTGGGCCTTATGGGCAGAGAGGATCTTGGCGCAGATTCTTTCTGAAAGTGGCTACGCATTGCGCTTCGGCTTCAAGGACACTTCGGAATATCAGAATCACTTCGGGTTGGCAGTGGATACCTTGTACTACCACTTCCGAAGTGGTCCAGATATTCTGAAGCGTCTTTCCGAAGTGGTTCAGATAGGGCATAACATTTCCTATTGCTACTAATATCTTCTCAAAATACTATGGCTCACTTGTGATGAGTGTTGGCTACTGCCATTAGAATGACTGTGAATTGAATTTTTGGTTGGCATTAATATTAGGGAAAATTCTTCTTGGTGCATTCAAAGTTGGTACTCAGAAAAGAAATTTTATAGAACTTGGATAGAAATACTCTCATCATTTGAGAAACAACACGTTAATATTCTTGAACAGCAGATTAGTAATCTCTGTTGGTGGAGCATTTCGAGCAGTGGCCTCACTGATTTGTTCAAATCATGATATATGGTACTAATTATTCAAGGATTATCTTTATAAACATCGAGGGAATATGGATGGCATTTCGATTTCGTACTCATGGTTTAAGACAATGGTGACAGTAGATGATGTTGAGCCTTTTCTTAAACACCAAACACAAATGAATAATAGTCATTGAAGATGGAACTTTTCCAATGCAATTGAATAATTGAGTGATTCATATTTGTTATAACAAAGTACATTAAATATGGATATTTTAGAAAATTAACATATTTAACTATCGTTTCAAATAAGAAATATGACTTAATTTGAAAGAAAAAAAAAATAGAACCATTTACTGATATTTAATACCTATTTAAATGACTAAATTGGTGACAAGAGCCTATTTGATAGTGATTTTTTCTCTTAAAAATTAATTTTTTGATCGTTATTTCACTAATTTAACCGTCATGTTTGATTTCTTAGCTCATGGGTGAATCCCTTCAAACGATCAATAAATCAATTCTTAAAATCACTTTCAAACAAATTATAAATTACATGTTCAAGAGTAATGATATGTTTTTCTTATTTTCCCTAAAAAGGCAACCGAGAAATCCAATGAAGCTGAGACTGATTCATTTGTTTATTCCAATGTACAATCGTACAGCTGAAAGAATTGAAACCAATTCCCTCCACGTTCCCCACTTGCTTTTGCAATTTGAAACCTCACGCGCTTTTTGAAAGAATCCAAACGTTACACGTACTTTTACTTTGAAGTTTGAACCGTGACATCTCCGTACAAAAGTTAACGTTACTCTTGTTCACTTCAGTCCTCTGCTCAACAGCATTGTCTCTACAGATAGGCGATTAATCTCACCAAACGAAGCCGGGAGCACAATTTTCTACTCTGGTCAATGGCTGCAAAAACCCTAGAAGCCAAGGCTGGAGGCTTGATTGATGGGGGTCCGACAGTGGGTTATGGAACTGAGCCGGGTTCCGAGGAGAAGGGGACCTCGAGGGCTGAGATTGACACCTCGGCGCCGTTCGAATCGGTGAAACAGGCGGCGAATCGATTTGGTGGGATGGGTTTTTGGAAACGCACCTCTCATAAGCCCTCTGAACATGCCCCAGAGGTCTCTCTCTC